TTCCTGCTGGTCCTTTAGGCACAGGAAACATGTCTTGGCAAAATCAGAGAGATTATCCAGCAGTAGGTGCTGGAGAAGACTGAAGTGAGTAATGAAGATTTGCATAATGCAATAAAGATACCACTGAAGTTGCACAGTCTACCAGCCGGTATGGCTAACGGGCTTTCATTTTAGAAATGTCAAACTGACCTTTTCAAGGAGCTTTAATTTAATCATTTTCAATGATAACAAGTGATAACATTGAAACAATACGTTCAAAACAAACTACTTTGATAATTATCCATAAAACACATTTAATTCCTGCAGAATGTCAGCTTCATTGAATCAGTTGTTTTCCAACAGAAGACTGTTCTCTCGCAACATTTTCCACCACCCCCAGTCAATACCGGTTTGCCAGCTGGCAGAATTTGCTGCTCCTGTTTCTGCATTGGCTTCCTCTCTTCTGCTGTGAAATGGGGGATGCTTCGAGTTAGCCGGTTGAGTTCCAATGCATGGAGCCACCTAGTGGATGTCACACATTGGGCTACTAAGGAATGGTATGAAAGGTGTGCAAGTGAGTAAAGGCATGTGACAGAAGGTTTAAATGGTTTAAATGGATGCAAACAAGGCAGGTTCACAAGCATAGGTATGGATGTGAGAGGAATGAGTGGCGAGCAGTAAAAAGAACAGGGGAGGGAATTAGGCATTGAGGGAGGAAGAAAAGAAAAAAGTGATAAAAACAAGAGTGATGAAGAGTCTGTGTACAAGAGAGAAGGGGTCATGGATAGTAAGACCCCTTTAAAAGTCACAGTTAATCGACTACTTGCTGTGTCTCTCAGCAGAGAACATCTCTGGCCAGCTCTGATCCTAATGCCTGGTAATTGTTGACAAATGCCAGGGTAATCTTGGCACTTGTTTACTGCAGAGCTGCACATCCTCGAAATTGTTTAGATAAATATAAGGACGTTATTTATATTGCCAGTCGCAAAGGGAGATTTGCAGTCAGTTTCCCTCAGATTTTGCAGCATTTAAGGTATTTCCATGGGAGGCCAGGCAATATCTGCAGACAGAAAGGCAACTGTATCAGTTTATCCAAAGTGTAAATGGAAAGCCACCTTGCTTGGTCCTGGCATAAGGAGATGGGGAGAGTGGAGGAAGGTGTTGCCTTTTGATAGTAACCATATCTCGAGTTAGAAGTGCTGGAGCATAGTGATATTCACACCTGGCAGGTTAGAAAGAACCAGAACAGGCATTGCCTTCTCAGTCTGAGCACTCTGTCACCTCCTGCCCTGCTTCCTTGCACTAAGGAAAGAGGAGCTAGTATCCCAGGAGTGAAAGGCAAAAGCTTACCAGAGAAAAGAACATGCTAGTGCCCAAGCAAAGATTCCTCTCTGTTCTAACAGGCACAGAAAGAGCTCTCCAGGCAAAAGGGAGCCAAGGACTCAGATGGTTCTTGCCAAGGGCTCGGGATTAAGACCCATTAACAATCCAGAAATAGAATCATCAGAATGGAAATGCAAAGAGTTTGTAAATGTTCAGACAGTCTACACATGAATCCTGCATAAAGCAGCCTGTGATTCCATGAAGTGCCTGCCACTGGGGAGGCTGGGTTAGAGTAGCTGAGAACTAATGCACCCCCTGCTGGGAGTGGGTAGGACTGCTACAGCTGTGTTCTACCATACCCTGCTGGTAGAGGCTGGGTGGGACTAGCTGAGAGCTCTCCGCACAGCTGGCTCTTCTGCTTTATTCCCAGTAGCATTCTTTTTGACAGAGGAGGGGAGTAGGATAGCTTGTCCGGGCAGCTGAGTGCTTTTCATTTCCCAACACAGAGTCCCCAGCTGGGAGAGCCTGTCCCATATCATCTCCCTTATAACCTGCTGCACCCAGGCTTGTCCATTGCCGGTGCCCAATGTCCACTGCTGGTACACAAACGCTGAATTTCTCCTGCACCAGTACCTGAACCCGTCTCCAGTGAAGGCAGCACAGGAGACTGGTAGGGGGAGAATGGTGGGGCATGTGCCTCCCCTGAGATTGGTCTCTGATTTGGCATCACTCAGGATGGGGCAGTTTTTTTGTCGTGCGAGTTGGCGGCATGGGGGGGCACTAAGTTGTGGCACAGAAATACAGGACTGGATATGGGGCTTTTGGTCCACCCCCGGGCCCACCCACAAATTGTGCCCCCCCCAGACTCAGGAGGCATCAGTCATTCCTGGCAGCAGTGCTTCATACCTGGGAGGGAGGGCTGTGGTTGGGAGCACTACTGCCACCATGCAAGAGCCAGCGCGCTACCTCCGAGTAGTCCCTGCCTGCCAAGGCAAGAGTCTGGAGTTCACTGAAGAATTACCCTCTCCCCACCCCAGGCCCCAGGAAATCCACCTCCCAGCCTCGGGCCCAGCTGGCACTTGTCCCTGGTGCAGTGAGCATGGCTCCTTCACAGCTGTTGGCAGTGGAGGCATCAGAGGGTTAAGCTGTCAGCTCTGTAATGTTAAACAGGTGTCAAAGGCGCCTCCACATATCTGCAGATTGAAATCAAATTCTTTGCAGTATAAAAAGATAAATTACCCAGGCGATTCCCGCCTCATCCCACTCATCAGGCCAGCGCCAGACGGCAAGCAATTTTTTTTTTTTAATGTGCTAACGACCTAATCAAGCAATCAAGTCGGAGAAGATTGCGGAGTGACCCCGAGCATCCATCTGCCAGCGAGACCCCGCCATTCATTTCCATTCCGCCATGTACTTCCTGGGAAAGAGAGGGAGAAAAAAATCCTAAACAAATTAACACCCAATTTTCCGTGAGTCTAATTAGTTAAATGAGGAGGTGTTTGGGGTGTCCTGGGGGAGGGAGGGGCTGCCTCTCAGAGAGGCGCATGGTAACTCCATGGCATTAATTAGCGCAGGTCAATGGCGCTGTTCCCTGGGGACCAGCTGCTTTAATTTCCCGTGATATTTCAGTGCCTGAGGCCCATCGATTCAAACTGAAATTAACTTATTTTTCAATCAGGCCCGGGCTGCCCCTGGGGCTGACTCTTCCTTTGCCTCCTTCTGAATAGACCTCAAGCAATTTTTCATCTAAAGCTGATGCCTTTCTACTGCGGGCAGGGAGGGAATTGAGGGAGGGAGGAGGGAGAATGAGACAAGAGGAATGGAAATCAGAGAGAGAACACTAATAGATTTCTGTGAGCCCCCCCCCCTTGATGCTGCCCGCATCTCTGCTTGCTGCTCCCCCAGGTCACAGCCCAGAGATTATTCTGCCAATTTTCAGAGAAGATGAGGGGCTTTTCAAACTGGGAATTCAGGGCAAGCCATGTGGATCAACCCCCCTCCCTCCCCCCACCCTGGCACATGCCGCCTGGGCCCAGCCCTCCCCACAGGCATCACTGCACACAGCCTCCCTCTGCAGCTTAGACACCCAGTAAATAATGAAAGAGAAAATCCCAAGCACAGGAGCCAAAAGCCGCTAGAAAGAGGCACTGCAATGGGAAATTAATTACATCCTGCAGACAGGGGTGGGAGTTGTTGTGAAGCTTGGCCCTTTTTGCTCTTGTGAGGGCGAAAGAAATATGTGCGGTGTACTGCCCTGGGAATGAAAGCCACAGCTGCTTCAGGTGGGACAAGCACAGCCCCTTCTGGGAGAGACATGGGTCCTGGTGGAGAAAAGCAGCATGGCACTCCCTGAGGGAGATGCATGCTTCTGCCCCTGGGAGGTAGTGATGGTGCTTAGGAGGCTGTCTCTCCCCAAAGAGACTGAGGAGCACTGGAAGAGCTTTGTAGGTAGAGGTCCACTGCTAGGGAGGTAGAAGTCCCCATGGGGCAGCACTAAGGGGCATCAGCAGAGTTGCAGGAAGGAAGCTAGCCCATCACTTGTGTTTTGCTGGCTCCATTCAGCCCTTTCAGTCCTATGGTTTGTGTCAGCAGTTACCATGTTTTTACATCTATATTGTTTTAGCTTCTGGTTCCTTAGGAGGATATTTGTGTTCATTCTCACATGCACATGCGCTTGCACAAATAGTCACAAGCATGCTGGCACCAACACATAAGCTGACATACAGCCTCCTCAGCCCACGTGGAGTGGGGGCAGCCTTCACTTCAAGAGCCAAGTCACCTGGCCTCAGTAAACTGCAGCTCCCTTTTCTGTTGCCCTTTGCAGGTGTGGTTCCAGAACCGCCGGGCCAAATGGCGAAAGCGGGAGAAGTGCTGGGGCAGGAGCAGCGTGATGGCTGAATATGGGCTCTATGGCGCAATGGTACGGCACTCCATCCCACTGCCAGAGTCTATTCTCAAATCTGCCAAGGACGGCATCATGGAGTCCTGCGCCCCTTGGCTACTGGGTAAGAAACCAGTCCCCTTCATGGGGCCCATGGGGCACAGCCAGTAGTCAAGGGAGTGAGGAGTTAAAATGAAGGAAATTTGAGCTATACTGAAAATGCTGAATAAAGGGAGGAAATGAATGAGCACTTGCTCTCTCCTCCAGAACACAGGGACACTGCTACTGCTAATGGCCAATGGGCCCCAACTCCTGGAGCCTGGGCTGTGACTGTCAGTCACTGGGTCTAGACTTATCTGTCCCCAGCTCCAGACTCATGGTGTGAAGCTGTTGGTCCCTGAGCTAAGAAGTATGTAGATAAGGCTGCTGACCACCATCCTAGGCTCCCCTGACATGGGATAAAGGATATTGGGCCCCAGTTCCTCTGGTATGGATTTCCCTGGACTCAGAGTCAATAGAAGATTGGTTTCCATTGAAGGGCTGGAAGAAGTTGTTTAGATCCAGCTCCTGCAAGCCTGTGTGACTTTGCTTGGGGTGAGGGAGCCAACTTGTCCTCTCAACAACCCTTTTCTGGAGGACTGGAGAGGAGTGCCCCCTCCAGCTGCCTGAGCTCCCTCCAGCTGTGCTGCTCCCTCCTGTGTGGCTCCCTCCTGTGCTGCTCCCTCCTGTGTGGCTCCCTCCAGCTGAGGGCACCAAACTCCTGCCTGTTGCTCTCGGGTGGGTGTGTGGGCTGTATAGATGTGGATGTAGTAAATTCCCTTTCACGCTCCTGCTCTTTGCTTCCTGTTTTCTGATCTTTCAGACTAATTCTGCCATAACACTGACTTGTGGCACCTTAGAAACGGACGACCCTGTCCTTCTGTCCATGAAACTGAGAGCGAGAGAGGCAGAGGGCTGGGCTGTGAATGAGGGAAACAGAGGCAAAGGGATGATAAGATGCAAAGGGCTTCTGTAAATGAGAGAATAGAGACTACCCACTATACCTGCCTTGTCCAAGTGAAAGGGCTGCTATGCTGGCCCTTTCTCCTTTTCCATCTTGTCACTGCTAGCCATCACTTCACTGTCTCTCAGCACTGGATGGCCTATTCTGTTTGATCTCTCAAAGCCCTGCCTTGCAGTTATCCCTCGGGGAAATCCCTGTCTCTTTGTGGCATTTAAACTGTGTCCCCTTACGGGACATCAAGACTTAGGCATATATGTCCGTCTCAGACCTGGCTCTTCACAAACACTGGTTCCACACTGGTGTTCCCTCACATCTGCCCTGCCTTTAGCAGAACGTTGGCTCTTCCCTCAGGTTTAGCCTGTGTGGAGCGGAGCGAACATAGTCTTGCCATCCAGATCTGCCCTGCCTCAAGCACAGAGCTGGCCTATGCTCCCCAATCAGGACTGACCTGCCTTGAGCACAGAGATGGTACCCGCTCTCCTCTCAGGGCTGGTCTGCCACTAGTAGAGAACTGGCCTGAGCTCCCCCTCATACAGGGCCCAAAACAATGGGCTCTCTCTGACTGCTGTTTGAAGCAAGGGTTTCTGCTTTTCCTTAATTCTGGCCTCTCTTTATCTTTGCTGTTTTCAGTTCAAGATGGCTTTCCCATGCCCAGGCGCTTTTCTAAACCCGAATACCAACAATTCTTTTTAGGGATGCACAAAAAGTCTCTGGAGGCAGCAGCTGAGGCAGGAAGGAAGACAGAGGTGGAGCGCCCCGCCCTGCCCAAGCTTGACAAGAGTGACAAGGAAGAGAGGGGCCCGGATCCCAAAACCACCATTTCCCAGGAGGAACTGAGAGAGAACAGCATTGCTGCCCTCAGGGCCAAAGCTCAGGAGCATAGCACCAAAGTCCTGGGGACCATCCCTGGGGACTCCCCAACTCCCGTCAGGAAGCCAGAGAAAGAGGAAGAGGAGGCAGCAGCAGAGGATGAGAGACAAACGGAGAAATCAAATTCATCACAAAAGGAGGAGAAGCTGATCTAGGGGAAAAGAGATGATGGAAAATGGCCCCAAAAGACTCTCTTCCGGGGGCTGCAGCCTCCCCTCAGACTGACAAGGCCCCTCCTGCAGCCCCTGCCCAGGGAGTGAGGCCTCTCATGGTCTCTGCATTTCAGGAAGCCACAGGCTCAGGCCAAGTTTTGCCTGTCAGGTGTGTCCAGAGACTGTTCCCCTCAGGGGTATTCCAACTCCATTCCCCACTCTGCCCTCAGGAGTCTTCCTGCTTCCACCTCTCCCCCCCTTTCTGGGAGATCAGAAACTGTCCCCATCTTCATCTGAGAGGAAACTGAAGCCAGTTGAGGCTTTGGGTCCCTCTGCACTAGCCTCAGAACCACTTTGGGTTTCTCTGACCTGGTCCAAATTGTCCAGTCTCAAGAGCGAGTCTGAGTCCCACTTCCACCCAAACTCATATCAGAGCAAGGCTGCTCCTGCTCCAGTTTCACCCACCCCCAGGCACTGGGTCAGTCTGTCCCCAGCTGCAGTCCCACTTGTCTCCGTGCAACACTCTGCTCTTGCCTGAGTTCCACCAACTTCCAGCCTCTGGGCAAGTCCCTTCCCAACCATTACTCCCACCAGAAAACCTGCTGTTGGCCATCAGCAGGAGAGGCTGGGACACCCTTCCAAGCAGCAGGAGCTCCATCTCCTGCAGACCAGGTCCCTCCCTTGTGCCCATGTTTCTGGCATCTGGCCTTCAGAATGTCAGGACCCAGTGTGGGCAAGGTGAGGTGGACCCACTGCCCTCACAAGGACCATTTTACCCTTTCTCTGGCCATGATTATTGTGGGACAAATCCATGGAAGTGTTTGCGTAAAACAGTGAGTCTATTTAAATGGTGATTTATATGTTCCATGTATATCTTTCCTGACTGAGTGTTGGGGTGTCCCAGGATCACTTTGGAATGGGGAGGGTGACTGGCATGTTGGGCAGCTGATTTTGGTCTTGGTTTTTCAGTGAGAAGTCAAGGGATAGGGAAGAATAGGGATAATTTGCAGGAGCTGATCCCCCAGCCCCAGGTACCCAAGACCCACACCTTCCCTATGGGACATCCCAAGTTTTACATCTGACTTCCCTCTGTAAGGGTGCTGATGATTCATAACACCCTCAGGTACCAAGTTCCTGCAGCTAGCAGCACCCAAAGCACATACCATACCTGGCTTTATGCTTTACAGACACCCAGGATCTCATGGGTACCCAAGCCTTGCACCCAGATTTACCTGTAATGATGAGACCCAGCTCCTCCCCCATGGTTACCTAGTAGTTGGCTCCACTCTCCTCAGTACCTATGCCCAGGCATCAGCCAGAACCTGCACCAGGTTCCACGTGCCGTGGCAGTTTAGCAGTAATCCAGGCTGCCTCAAACTGCTCCCTAGCACTGTCTGGTTAGCACCTTCTGGCCCCTAGCACAAACTGCTGAGGTTTAATCATATAGAGTCCTTGCTACAAACATGCTGTGGGTCCAGGCTGCTCCCACAAGGCTTATAATCATACTTGGCTCCAGCTCCCAGAAGGGCTTTGGGAATAGCAATGCACCCCAAGAGCCTAGAGGCAGAGGCCTACAGGTATTGCCTCTACTTCTGCATTGAATGGGTCAAATACCAGGCAATATGTTTTCTGAATAAATCAGTCAGCATCAAGTGGCATCATTTGCCAAATGTACGTACTGGCTTATATTTGACCAGCTTGGTCTCTGAGTCTCAAAGGGAGCTTCAGCCATGTCCACAGATGCACATAAACTCACAAACACTGTGATATGTACATATTCCTCATCCCCAGAATCCCATGTGAATACACAGACCCACACAGCAAAACCCACAGCATCACAGCTCCATGCTAACATTGCCTTCCCATCCTAGTGAGGGACTGCCCTCCATGAAGGCCCCAGGACAGTGACTTCCACATATCCCTTTCTGTCCTGCTGTAGACTGTGAGCTCTCCTTCCCCAGAACCACTGTTTTTATTCTGTCGAAGGCTGATCCTCCCCTTTCATGCATCTCTGTTCGTCCTTGTCCCCAGTTTGTTTGACGTGTTAGATTATAGCCTATGGTGTGTAAATAATGTACATACAGTGAGAAAAGACTTCCGTATTGAGGTGTTTGAGGTATGGAACTGTAACAACTTCTAGTCATTCAGAACCTGTGATTTATGTGCCATTTTCTGTAAAGATATAAACAAAAAATAAAACTAAATTGGAATCCTGTGTACAAATCTGGTCACTTGTGTTCAGGAACAATGCCCTCCAGCTGGAACAGGTGTGGAGAAGGGCAATGGGGAGCATACTGTATGAGGGACTAGAAGAGCCTGGCTTGTTTGGGCTAGCAAAATGGAGGCTGAGAGGGAATGTAATTGCTGTCTATTAACACATCAAGGGATAAACATCAGAAAGAAAGAAGAGCTCTTTAAACTAATCAAATAGTGGTGACACAAAAACAAAAGGGAGTAAACTGCTCATGAATTCATTTAGGCTGGAAACAAAGAAAGTTTCTAATCACCAGAGCAGGTAGGTTTTCCAAGTGCCATTTAGTAACAGTAGTGGGGGCAAAAACCTAGTCAGTTTTAAGACAGAACTTGATCAGTATATGAAAAAAATCATATGATTAGGATGAGACTCAATGACCCAGGAGGTCCCTTCCAATCCTCTATTCCTAACAGTAACAGGGTTGGTGTCCCCTTGGTCAAAGGGGACCCAGCTAAGAGGCTGATGGCCCAGTGCATTGAATATGTGTATGCATCTGCGTGCCTGAGGTATTTGCATGCCCCCAAGCATGGCAAGTACCCATTACCTCCAGTAGTTATAAAAATTGTTCTCTTAAGACAACCAAGGAAGTAAAATAACATGTAGCTGCTCAGCAATTGCGCTGTGCCAGAGCCAATAGAACGGACAAATCCATTCCCCTGCCCACAGCCTGCAATTCCCAGCTGACTTCTAATGTGGCCCAATGAATTCTCAGTTCTGTAACATGCATGGAGGGAGTCTGGCCTCCCCTACAAGAAACTTGCTACAAATAAGGGTGCCCTGGGCCATGTGCTTTGACCATGGTTACCTGGGAGAGGTGTTCACGAGATGCATTTCCAACCTTCTTCCCAAATACTCAGCTTCATTTCAAACTAAAGGACAAACAGCAGTGTAGTTACTATCTAAGCACTGTGATGGAGGCTTGGAAGCTAAAGGGCTGGGTTTGGACTTTATAAGATTGCATAGTGCAGAATGTCCTCACCTCTAGTTCCATGTACGCACACACTCTTCTTCTAAGCTTTTACTATGCACATAACCATGGACGCCCCCTCCTCTTAATCACAATAGGAATACACACTTTGCATATCAATATACCTCTCACACATGCATGCTAGATAGGTGCATGCTTTTTACTTACACACTAAGATTTTTGCATATTACATACACATTTTGCAAAGGCCATGCTTCATTTAAATATACAAATCACACCTGCAATTCAATTCAGCAATACTGCATTGATATGACAAGCTATAGAAATGCTGCCAAAGTATAAAGCAAAAAAAGGGCAAATGTATCTGGTAGCAATAGCTACACTGGGCCAGATGGGTATTTCTAACTTCATAGGGAATTATAAACCTTAGTCTGTATGGTTCTCAATAAAGAGACAGTATGATAACCGACTGCTTCCAAAGTAATCAAGGGAGATTCCTTCTTCCCTTAGAAATTAGCCTGTGATCACATCTTAATTAACCTGCAGCTACGCATCGTGCATGTAAAAGTAGATAATGAGGGAACTCTTTGCCTTCTTCATAGAGTTTGGAACTTTGGATTCTATCTGGCACCCAAAACTGAACTCATTGGACTTGGGGGAAAAACATATGGTACCTTTAAATACAGTTATAAACAGCCCACATGGAAACAGAGGCCTTCAGCTGGGAAAGGTGGGATGATCTGAGCGCTTTCTCTCTCTCGCACATTGGTGCACAGGCAGAGGCTGCTGTGTCAAGAAGGGATTGCCAACCTAAAATGGGGAGAGCAAGAGTTTGCCTATCTTACAGGGCTGCTGCTGGCAGAGCTGTGCCCACAGAACTATGGTGGCAGAGCCCCCTAGTGGAGATGTGGCATATGGCAACAAACATTTTTAGCTCCTCCCCTTCCCCGAATGCCAGACGTTCTGCCAGCAGGAAAGGTTTGAGGTAGAAGAGGGAGTAGCTGATACCAGTCTCATGGGAGAGGAAGAAAGGAGCCTAGTGATACAGGGCATCTCTAGTCCTTCCTCTGGGACTGAAAATAGGTCACTGCTCCCTCTCCTTCTCCCTCCTTTCTGGCAACTCCAGGCTTGATGGGGGTGGGAATGAAAAACCCCTGGAGCTGCATCCCCACCTGGGTAAGTGGAAAAAAGGGACATCACTGTAGCTGTTCTTCCTGTGCCTCTTCAGATATAGCTGCTACCTGATCCCTCTGGCAGAAAGGCCTGAAAGGCAAAATTGTTGTAGGGGGTGGGGGCCAGGGGAATGGAAAGAAAGAATGACTGTAGAGGTTGGTGGGGAAAAATGATAATGGCTGGGCAGGGGCTTAGTAGCTCGTGGAGGGTGGGTAGATGGAGGCCTGGGGACATCAAAAGAGCTAGAACCCTGTGGTGTGGGAAAAAGCAGGGCATCCCCCCCCCCCCCCACACACCCACCCGATCAAAAGAGCAAGAACCCTGTGGTGTGGGGAAAAGCAGGGCACCCCCCCCCCCCCACACACACACACCCGGGGCTGGGCACAGAGTGCAAAAGCCAGCAAATAAACCAAAGAACAGATCTCATAAAAATCTGTCTTGGGGGAGTGGGTCTGACATGATTTTTTACTTATGCATATTGGCATGTTCTTTCAGCCGTCTGGATGGAGGCATTGGCTGTATCTGAGAGCACTCCCAGGAGCCGGGAGACATTCTTCAGACCACTTCTTCCCAGGCACGGAGCCTGTGCTCTTCTGAATGTAACCAGGCAGGAAATATTCCCATGCTGTGACCCAAAGAAGCCACTGGAGGTCACTGTTGCTCTTATGAAGAATAACTAACCCTGGCTCCTATGAGTAGATTGCTCATCTTCCTGACTTTTGCAGTCCTTCTTCCTCTAGTGCCTCAGCTTTTTTCCCTGCACTGCCTCAGCACAGAACCATAGCAGTTACTATCATTGTTGTATCTCTTCAAGACAGTAGAACCTGGGAGGTGCCCCAAAGGAGGCAGGCACAGCAGGCAGTGCTGCCTATCATGGTTGAGTAATATTGTCCCTCCTCTGGAGGCCTGTCCCTCCGGTGCACTCACTTGGCCTGGCCCCTCTGCCCTCTTTCACCTCCCCTTTCAGACACAGATTCACCTTCTCCATGATCCCCTTCTCACATTTCCCCATGCGCTGCCTTTAACCTGTCTGTATTTGGTATATCTGCTTGGGGCCCAACACTCTCTTCATTTGGGCAGCCTATACCCAGCTACTACCTTTCTCCAGCTCTGTCCTTGCACCCTGTGCCTTCCAGCCTGTTTCTTCCACCTCACTCCATCCCTTCCTCCCTCCCCTCATAATCACTTCTCCAGCATAAATTGCTAATATCAACAGAGCTTTGGACAAGTAACTGTGATTTCCCCGCCCCCTGCCCCCACTCCCCCCCACCCCCGCCCTTTCATTGTTCTAGCTATTGCTGCTGATCACTGCTTCCTGGATGCATCCTTGAGAGGTGTTGGGGAAGCTTCAGCCCAAATTACAGGAAGTACCAAGTAAGATGGTTTGGGGCTTTACTGCTCTGGAGCAGTCCTCTTTACCATAGGGGTATGGGTTGTTGCCAATATGTGTGGTACTGAACAGACAGATGTTCTTTCTCATTTGCTCTGACTCTTCTGTGCTCCCAGCACCCTCAGGACCATATTTGTCCTCTCCCCGTTTCATAGATTTAAGGCCAGAAGGGACCATGAGATCATCCAGTCTGACCTCCTGCATAGCCCAGACTGCAGAATTTCATTTACACCTAGAGAGAAGAAAATGGTTCTTCCTTCCCAATATCTCTGACGCCTACTCCAGATATTCCCAGCTGCTCCACACCTCAGGTTTCTCTTTCCTCTGTCTCCTACCATCCCTTCCATTCTGCAAGTCACCTCACTTTGGTTTTCCTGGTACAAAGACACTTTTAAATGCCCTCACAGGACATTTTTGCTCCTGTGTCTGATCCTGCTCCTTGTCTAGATGCTCCACTAACCCATGCCTCTGCTTCTTTTTCCCAAGTCCTGGAACAGCTCCCCTGGTCTTGCATTACTGATAGCTCTCCCCTTTGAAAGAAGTGACAATGCCAATAACTCAAACCATATGCAATATGTGATTGCATATACACTGATGCAATCACAGTATACATCTCAGTTATGTGGTAAGGCATAAATAGCAGTGAAAAGAAAGAAGAAGGTCCTTGCCCCAGGACACTTAGATAGACCACCAGATTAGACTCATGCTGCCTTGGATGACCAATCAAAGGTACAAACTCTAGTCAGCAAAGATTTCCTGTCAGCTCCTTCCTTTAGTGACTGGAAAACTTTATGAAAGAATATTTTAAAGGGGCTGTTGAGAAAGGTGAGGAAAACTGTCTGGAAGAAAAGAGAAGGGGTATTGTTCCAAGTAGAAAAGCCAGAACAGTTTTGAGATTGGAAGAAGAATCCAAGTGGAGCAAACAGGCATGGGGCATGAATGGGTACGATCAGTCCGCAGGGTGAACAGGGCTTTGTTCAACTTCTGAGAGTACAAGGTCAATTAATGTTGGGGCAAGGGGAGCATTTGTGCAGTGACACAGGCCAGTCTGAATCGTCTGTGGCTGGGCATACAGGCACCAGCCAAGGTTGGCTCCAGTTCAGGAGCCGCTGTCGGGACTCAGATTAGCATGAAGGTTATTCCAGTCAGTTTTTTCTATAGCCCACCCCTTTCCCCTCCCTTAAAAGGGATTGGATTTCTTTTGCTCATATTTGGGAGAGAAGAAAGACTGTGTGAGGAGGCAAGGGACCACCTCTGGAGCTCTCTGGCTGAGTGTAAGTTTGTAATTTGATGGTCAGAGAGGGGCACAGCTAACACAGCAACTCCTGCCCCCTCAGGGGCAAAACAACAGGTCCTAGCTTGTGCCTTATGCACAAAGGAGAAGTAGAAGTTCCTGAAGACCACTTCTAGCTGAGAAGCTTTTCTGCGCTCGAATCATGGCCTGGCTGCTGCCCAGGCGTTGCTACCTAAAAGTCTGTTCTCAGACCTCTAGAGGCCCTTTTTTGTCCAGCATAGTGCGAGCCTGGAGCGGTGGGCCCCTGACAGCATATATGCCAGAAGCTGTTTCCTTTCCTGGATCAAAGAACCACCAGGGCCTTTACAGGATGTCAGTGGAGCAAGTGGATACATTCTGGGGGACACTAGGACGGAACCGACTCACATGGATCAGCCCCTTTCACTCTGTCCAGGACTGTAACCTAGAGCAGGGCTGGGTTGCCTGGTTCCTGGGAGGACAACTGAATGTAGCAGGTAAGTTGGAAGCCATAACCCCCTGTCTGTCCTCTGGCTTGCTGGGGAATCTGCCTGATCCCTGCCTCTTAGGGTGGATCCTTTTCACTGCCTCTGAAATGCTGTGAGTCTGTTTCTGGGACTGAAAACATAGACTCCTCCCTTTACCGAGTAGCTAGGGAGCACTTTATGGCAGTATTAGATTCCTGGTTGTTGACCCTTTCTTGGATGAAGCTAATTGTATGCACAGAAATCCTAAACAGGGGGAGGAAGAGTTTGACAACCAGCACCCAAGCAGCTGGGGGAGAGTAAGGGAAAAGAATGTAAGTGGGTAATAGCACTTCCCACTGAGTCCTGAGTTTTCCTGTTGGGTTTTCTCCAAGTCCTCATTGCAAGTAAATCCATGGCCTGTTCAGAGGTGCCTTCAGTGAAATGCTTTCACTAGGAAGAAACTGGGACTAGATAAAGCACATTCTGGTAAATTGTGAGGAATGAAGAACATCTCTTTAGATCCAGCTACAAGCTTAGCTTTTGGGAATGTGTTCTGATTGGCTGTGTAAGATTTGTAGTAGGTGTGTAAGAATGTGATTGGCTTGATGGGGATGAGCATATATCTAGTAATGATTGAGCAACTGCATTTGGATGGTCATGCACTGGGGCGTTTTCTGCACTCACAAGCTAATCATCATTGGGTCTGATTAGTACCCTTTCCTGAGAGCCACCTAAGAAAATTTAAGTGCTAGTGGCATTATGACTCAGTAAGTGATTCCCTCTGATTCGTTATTGCTGAGTGCTTCTTCACACTGCTAAATAACAGCATTGCCAACTCTAAATACTCAGGAAGCATAACTTAGGGATCTTTTTATTTGCCCTCTGGGTTTGAGGCTTTACAGTTCACATTTTCAACCTTTTCTTTACAACTTTGAGAGCTAGAAACTTTCTTTATAATGAAAGTGGAGATTCCCACATGATCTCTGGGCTTCAAGAGCTGTGGTATTAAAGAAAAACATCAAATGTAGCTGAGGCTCCCTATAAAATTGCAAATAGTAGCAGCACTGAGGAAAGGGAGGGTTACTTCAGTCAGAGAAACTTGCTTTGGGAGATTACTTCAAAAGTCTTCACCACTTGGAGTCTGCAAAATTCCCTGGGACTCATTGCCCTGGTTCTGTCCCATCTCAGGTGACTGCATTCTGCTTCTCTCTATTCCCTCCAGAGATGGTCATTTCCTGTCCTAAACATCTCCTATGGAGTGTTGTTACACAGCTGCCTCAGCCCACTACAGAGGCAGGTACTTTCTAGTGGTAGGTGAAGCGATAACTGTGGATCTCTTCTTTGCCACACAGAACTCCTGTAAGAATTACTGAGTTAATATTTATGAGGCACTTTAAACATTTCTTATGAAAAAAAGTGGAGAGCATCACTATCACTTTCTGTTTAGTTCTGTTCAGTTGGTAGTAGTTTCTGTTCAGAAACATATTGATGGACAGTGTGGCTGAGCTGTTTGTGAGGGTGATGGACATGAACCTGGAGAGGTTAAAGGTGTGGGCATGGGGCTGGGATAGTGTCTATGATCTGAAGATTGGTCCAGCAGTGATGTGGGATAGGACCAGAAGAATACCAAGCTAACTAGCAGGCAGTGCCCCCCACTCCCTGAGCCCAGATTGTAATCAGAGAACAGAGGTACCAGCGCTGGCCTTACATGGGTCAGTGAGGTGGAAGACCCTATAAACAGGTGATCCTGGTCAATATTCTGTTTCAGTGAATTGTTTGGATCGACATGTCCACAGAGCTCCGAACAAAGTGGCCCTGATCTGGGAGAAAGATGAACCTGGGAAAGAGGTCCAGATTACATACCGGTCAGTATAGAGAGAGAGAGAGAGAGGGAGTGTGTGTGTGTGTGTGTGTGTGTGTGTGTGTGTGTGTGTGTGTGTGTGTGGTGCATGCAGTAGAGGAATCTGGTTGCACTCAGCTCACTTGTGGCAGGTGACAAAGGCACAGTGATTCCCATGTACTGTGAGCATGTGACAGCACTCAGAAAATCAGCAGTGGTTGTGTTGCGGCCTTGCAGGACTGATGAAGGGGAATCCCAGACCTGGGACAACTTTCTTGCAGTGACCAGCCCCAGCCTCCTTTGGGCAGGCAGAAAGTGACAGCAGTTAACAGCATAGCAGCATTTTTGTGTAAGCACAGCAAGCCCTCAGGCTGCAGCAGAGGTAGAACCAGGAGGGCTTCCCCATGCCCCATGTTCCACATATGCATACCCCAGCAATAACGTAATGTTCCCAGTGCTCCATCTAGTCCAGTGTCCAGTCTTTGACATTGGACAAGAAGAAGGTATCAGACACCCCATAATGGAATAGTTGCCCAATAAGGAAGCTCTGGCTTAACTCTCCACACTCTCAGTTAGCTGGAAATTAGTTATGTTGGTCTTTTAATGGGTGCCACCTCTTCTGCTTCTCAATGAACTGTCTGGATTGGCATGTTCACAGTTCTTCCCATTAGGAACTGATCTAGAGGAAGATTAGGATGTAAGGGAACCTCAGCTGTTCATTTCCAGCTCTAAGGTGGGGTAATAGGGATGTTCCCGCTAGCCATTGCAATTCACCTCCAATTACAAAGTGATTTCTTTGGACAGGGAACTATTGGAGTTGACATGCCGATTGGGAAACACCTTGAAACGGCAGGGAGTGAAGAAAGGTGACCGGGTCACTATCTACATGCCCCCATGCCCTCTGGCTGTGGCAAGCATGCTTGCATGTGCCCGGATAGGAGCCATACACATGCTGGTATTTGCTGGATTCAGCGCTGAGGCTCTAGCTGACAGAATCCAGGATGGTAAGAGTTGCCTTTTAGGCAGGACATGTCCTTTCATCTTTTCCTCTTTGGGAACAATAGTGATTCCTGTTTGACCAATGAGGCTTACAGTGACTGTACACAAAGTTCCCAGGCACTGAGGCTGTCCTTGGCCAACTCCTTGCCGAGGGGTCAGGTTGGGGATTTAGGGCTGAATCATATGCTCACTCAGAGAACTTGTAAACTCACCTCCAAGCCGTAGCTTCAGAGCCACCTCACCAGAAAAGCTGGTTTAGAAAATAAAAACAGTTGTTAGGAAGCTAATTGAGGAACAGTCTGCAAAGCCTCACAGAGCTCATTCATGACTGCTAGTTGGTGTGGATAGACATGGAAGGAGCAGCAGGGGACATTCAGCATCTATACTTGCAGAAGCTCCCTAGCCCTAAGCAGAGTTCAGCAATAGCACTTGTTGCCCAAGACTGCCAGAATCCTTCTCAATAGCTGACCTTTTCATGGCAAGACACCCACCCATCAGGGATGATAGAGGAGTCCTGCCTTACTTCAGAGGTGGGAGGAGAGGACTAGATCCTCCCTAAAGCAAGGACATGCACTAGAGGGCCCACCAGAAGCCTCTTTTCAGTCAGTGGGCTCTGGGCCTGGCTGCATCAAACCCAGAATTGTTAAAGTAGGAGTATCTGGGGTCTTCTTTTGGTGGGGGTGTGTTCTCTGCCTCAGGAATGGAAGCCAGGCAGTGAAATCCTGCCACGCCTAGGGTTGTATGTTACCTTGCTGCAAACATTCCTGAAAGAGGGAGAATGTCACTGCTCTTGTTTAAAGAGAGGTCGTGAAAAAAAAGAGCAGTTTGGGCCCGGGGGGGAGGGGGGAGGAGGGGGTTGGAGAAAGAAAAATGAAAGTGGAGCAGGGAAGGATTTAGGCCATGGCATCAAAGTGATAGAGACATGGTGAGAATGACACATGGCAAGAGAGCACCCTCAGCTGGGCAGAAGAGAAGGCCTGGCAGCACTGCTATTAGTTTTCTCCTTTTTGTCCTCTCCAGCTCAATCAGAGACAGTGATCACAGTAAATCAGGGGCTCCGAGGGGGTCGGGTTACTGAGCTGAAGCAGACAGTGGACCAGGCTGTGAAATGGTGCCCGAAGGTGAAACGAGTTCTGGTTTCCATGAGGACCGAGCAAAAGGTTCCCATGTCAGACCTGGATGTGCCGCTGGATGAGGTGAGATGTTCTATGGAGCTACTACTATATCCCTCCCTCTCCTCCCAGGAAGGACATGTACCCTATGGCTAGGGGCAGGCATTCAAAAAGCCTGAACCTGAATTGATTCAATCTTTGCAGGTTAGTCTAACCTGCCTAGGCTGAACCGGTTTGTAACCGGAAAGACATCCCCTCTGGACTGAAGAAATGCAGGCACATGCCTGCAGTGGCTCAGGTTAGAAGCTGGGGGTGGGGGGAATGCTAGAGCAGCCCACCCTTCCCTTCAACACTGCTGAGCTGAGGGGGACATGGTCAGGCCCCAGCAGGACGCTCTGATTAGGGAGGGTCCCCACCCCCACCCCTGCTGCAAGGGAGCCAGCAGGGAGTAACACAGCATTTAGCACCCCATCAAGAAAACAAAAGCCTCTCTCATTAGTTCAAGCTCTTAAACAATTTTTTCCAAGGAAGGAAGGGAGGGACATTACCAGCTGACCTGTTAATTAGCTCCAAAAAGCCCTAAGCAGACACTGTCCTGTCTGCCTTACACAGACATCTCCACATGCTAGAGAGGGGAAGGGGGTATCCCTGCTTGAGGGTGGTGGGAGAGTAGGGAGCAAATGGAAGCTAGGGAGATGTTGCTGTGCCTGCAATCTCTGCCAGAGCTCCAGCAAGGGAGCAGAGGGGAGGGGCCAGCTCTGCTGTGGAGCAGAGAGCCCAGCCCAGAGCTGTACAGCATCTGGGATGCCAGGGGACTCTGGTTGAAGTTAAACCAGGAAGGGGTCTGGGACAGACATTGCATAAACTGGTTTGACTCAGATCAGGTAAGTCTGATACTACGTTCAACCAGGTTTATCTCAAACTAGTTTCAGGCATTTTCAAACTGGTTTATGTGTACTGAAAGTCTGTTCTGTTACAGGCTTAAACCAGTTTCTGATCACTTAAATCGGTTTATGGGTAATGTCTATCTCTAGCCTATGGGATCATGTCGGAGTCAGAACCTTGTTTTATACTGGGATGAATTAGGGATGTTGTTCTGTGGTAAAAACATGCATTAGGGTCTGGCATGAATGATCTAAAGGTTATTGCTCAGGCAAAGACCTGTCCCAAGAGCTATTACTCTGCTCTCTGGAAAGGATCATGAATGCAAGAAATGCTTTGTGCGGTGATAGTTCTGTGTGCTGTTGTGGTGGCAGTACTAATGAGAGCCTGTGGGAGTATAGGTAAGGTCTTGAAAACTCTGCTCCGGCACCAGAATCCTGCTGTGAAGCTGCTACTGTTGTTGGTCTCCCAGGTTTAGAGATGGGCCCAACCTAGGTATCTCTGGCCAGTCAGTCTAGCCACTTGGGCCTGTGGAAGTATCAAAACTCAAGGGCTGCCTATGGCACCTGGGCTTCTAGGCAGTCTCCCACCCAAGCAGTAGTTACTCCCAAGACTGTTTAGGTTCTAAAATCAAGTGAGATCAAGTATATCTAGTCTGTAAGGCCAGTTCTGAAGCACTCACTGCCATTCTGGTCTGGGCTCCCCACATGGCTCTTGCCATGCACCTCACTCCTGTGCTGTAGCTTCCCCTGCTAGACCACCTCTGAGCTCCCCATAAACACGGCTTTCCTCAGGTGCCTTGCCTGACCTGCAGCACCTCTGCCCCCCCAGGTGGGGGGCCACAAACACATCTGCTGACTCCAATTAGAATATCAGTGCTATGCAGAGTATAGGCAGTGATGTGGTTGGGGAAACATGGGTGCTCTAACTCCATCATAGGCAGCATCCACTGGCAGAATACTTTATCCCCCTGGACACTCCATCACTGACCTAAGTATGGCAGTTCTCAGACAGCAAACTTTTGAAAACAGATTTGACCAGGAAATTGGAGAACAAGAAATCACCCCCAGACTGTGTTGTGTTAAGTATGGTTTAATCAGGGACTACAGGATTCTTATCTTATTACTCATCTTATCTTGTGACTCCTTTGTTCCTATAGGTTTACTGCTTGCTTGTTTGCTTCTCCCAGCACTGCATCCTTCTCCCTCCCCACCCTTCTTTGTCTTTTGTATCTTCTCTCTCCTTCTTACACTTTCTGCAGTTCTTTCACAGGCTCTGATGAAATGAGCTCTAGCTCATGAAAACTTGTGCTAGATCTATTTGTACCTTATAGACTACTTAGCTAGTCTATAAGGTGCAAACACACACACACACCCCCTCCTATATATTTAACCTTTGGATACAAATCTCCCCTGCCTTCAGAGTACCAGCTAAATAGTCTCTCAGCATCAAGTAATGGTCAACCTCAGTGCTGATTCTTTCTGCAGGGGTGTAATTATGTCATAACATTTCTATTACTTCCATTATGTTCTAACCAGAGCTGAGCTAAAAAGTGTTTCAAAAGAATTCTGTGATGGTCAGAGAACTAACTGTGTGCAAATAGCCTCTTCTTACTTAGTAGAGCTTTTCCGTGGTTGGGTTCAGGGTCAGAGCTGCTGACTAATGACCAAGCTAAAGTGATTACCACTTCTTCCTGTTGCTTAGTCTGCAGAGACACTGCAGCCCTGGGAAAAAGGAACTGGATTTTATTTTGGGTAGTGCATTAGCAGAATGGTTAATTAGGCCTTTATAGTGGGTTATGATGCCTGTGTCGGAAATAGCTCAACCAGAGGGAGTGTGTGGTACCAGCAGTTCAGAACAAAAAAAATCATCACATTACCAGGAAATAAAATACACCTAACCTAACAAGAGTGAATTAGTAATCAAAGGGTGGGACACTGGAGTGCCATTTAATACTGAATTTTCAGGGTGTCTCTTCTTTCTAGAGTGGTATGACTATAGAGAAGGTAAGCCTTACTGAACAAAGAGTAGCAGGGAATTCAGTGGTTTAAGTACAAGTTGAGGTTGTTTAAGTATAAACAGTCAAAAAGTATGAGGCTAAATTGATTCAGTCTTTGCAGGTTAGTCTAAAATACAGAAATTAAGCTGGGAAACAACTAGACAAACATTCACTTTTGATTCAGAAAATGCAGTCTCATACCTGCAGTGGCTTAAGCCAGAAGAAGCCAAGCGGGGCACTGAAGCACATAGCCAGCATGGGCTGTGCATTCATTTCCTCTTCCTATTGCCCCTGAAGTCTGTGAGATTTGAAGTCTGGAATCACAGCAGCAGGATTCTTCAAAGTTGCTCATCACTTCCTCTTCCTGCTTCCAGGTGCCTTTGGGACTTGTAGGCCACAGTCACAGCCAGTAGTAAGTTTTTAGCAGGGCAACTCTGCTCTGTACTTGGGAAAGGGAAGTTTAGCTCTCCTCCCTGGTCCCAGACCCCAGCCAGGATTTGCCTGGCTACCACCCCAACCCTTCTCTGCTGGAGTAAATAGCCCAGCCCAGCCTAGGGCTGGAAAGCATGTTGGGATGCTGGGGGATTGTGATTGATCTTGAACCAGGAAGGGGTCTGGGATAGAAGTCTCATAAACCAGTTTGACCCAAATCTCATAGATTTCATAGACATTAGGGCTGGAAGGGACCCCGGAAGATCATCGAGTCCAGCCCCCTGCCCAAAGGGCAGGAAGTCAGCTGGGGTCATAGGATCCCAGCAAGATAAGCATCCAGTTTGCTCTTGAAGGTGTTCAATGTGGGCGCTTGAACCACCTCCGGTGGCAGGCTGTTCCAGACCTTGGGGGCTCGGACAGTAAAGAAATTCTTCCTTATGTCCAGCCTGAAACGGTCTTGTAGTAGTTTATGAC